AACATATGGGGAAATTAGTGGGTACCCATCCCCAACCCATCCCCTGTGGATATTTAAAGAATATCACCTACCCTACCCAATGGATAAGAAAAAGAGGGGAAAACCCATGTATTTGGGTTGGGTCTCCATGGATACCCACATGGTAGGTTATCCATTGCCATCCCTACTAGCCCGTGCCTGACTGATGAGTGTTACACCTATTGCTCGTCTGTCCAATATTACTCCATATACTAGGCCCATACCATTTGCTGTCCAAGAAGAGAACAACTTTATCTTGCCTAAGATGGATTATACCCCTTACATCAGTGTTGTCAAAGGCGCGCCTAGGCGTAGGGCGAGTTGAGTCGCACCATCTGCGCCTGTCGAGGTACCAGGCGAGGCGACTTGAGCCAGGCGAGCGCCTTAGCCGCGACTGGAGCAAGGCGAGAGAGGCGCAAGGCGATCGCCTAGGCGCGACTGAGTGTTGAAGTTGTAGATCTGATCTAACGACTCAGATGAACCTAATCACAGGCCTCGTAATCACAGAGGATTACGACTCATGGACCATATGAGCCAAATAGGACTCAGATAACCCTAATCGAAGTCGTCTCTTCCTGTGTTCAAAAAAAGAAGTCGTCTCTTCCTCTTCCTCTGCGACTACGACTTCGATCGACTTCGCAGGTTCGATTCGCAGGTTCGACTTTGATCGACTTTGCAGGTTTCAACTTCGATCGACTTCTATCGGCTTCGCAGGTTCGACTTTCTCCCCTTCCCCTTCTTCTTCGTCTTCGATCGACTTCCTTTTTGCCTTCGACTGATCTGTTTTGCTTTTATTTATTTATTTATTTATTTTCTATTTTTTTTTTCAATTATTTGAGTAGTCTGAAAAAAAATGGGAAGCCTGAAATTGATTATGATAAATAAATAAATTAATTCATAAATAAATAAATTAATTAATTCATTCATACATACATACATAAATAAAAAAATAGATATATTACATTCATTATGATTATACTGAAATTGATTCATCATTATACTGAAATTAATTAATTCACCTTTAATTAAAAAAATAGAAAATTGAATGTAACATAGGAATTAATGTAATGGAATGTAATGTATATTAATTAATTAATTAAAAAAATAGAAAATTGATTCATACATTACATACATTAATTAATTCATCACATAACATGCATTACATTCATTATACTGAAATTGTTTTTTTGTTATTTATTTTGTGTTGTGTAGTAAGTACTAAGTAGAAAATGACATCGGAAAGTAATAGAAAAGATCCGGCGTGGCAATATGCCCATTTGGTGGAGGAGAATAATTTAAACAAGTTTGAGTGTAATTTTTGTGGTAAAGTATCAAATGGAGGTGTTTATCGGGTGAAACAACACCTTGCAGGAGGTTATAGGAATGTCACTGCTTGCCCGAAGTGTCCTTCTCATGTAAGAGAAGAGATTAGAGAGTTCATGTCCAAAAAAAAGACACAAAAAGAAGAAATGAACATGTCTGATTTTGATGACATGGACATGGACATGGAAGATGAAGATGAAGATGATGATGTCGTTGAGATCAATGTCAATCAACACCGCAAGTTGACAAGTAGTATCCAAGGTTCATCCAAATCCAAATCCAAATCCAAATCAAAAATGCCAAAGAGAAAAGGGCCTATGGATATTTACTTCACACCCAATCCTAAATCAGTGGTGAAAAATCGAAAAGACCAAGCAAAAGGGAAACAAACCAAAATTGATGCAAATGAACCTTACAAAAAAGAAATGAGAGCTCGGGCACTGCAGAGATTTGCAAGGTGGATGTATGATGCTGGTATCCCTTTTAATGCAGTAAATTATGAGAGTTTTGGACCAATGATTGAAGCCATTGGCCAATATGGTCCTGGTATGAAGCCACCGACTTACCATGAAGTACGGGTTACCCAACTCAAAAAAGAAGTGAAACATACCGAAGATTTGATGAAGTATCATAAAGAGGATTGTGCAAAATGCGGGTGTTCCATAATGGCTGATGGTTGGATTGATAAGAGAGGAAGGACATTGATTAACTTTTTAGTTAATTGTCTAAGAGGAACCATGTTTGTTGAGTCGGTTGATGCTTCTAGCTATTCAAAGGATGGGCAAAAGCTATTTGAATTACTAGACAAGTTTGTGGAGAAAGTTGGAAAAGAGAATGTGGTGCAAGTTATCACTGATAGTGCTGCAGCTAATGTGTTGGCGGGTAAGAATATTTCCTCATTCCTTACATCAAAATTGTTTACACATAGTTTGTTTTGTATTTAAAATTTAAAAACTTGAAAATAATAATTCTTCATTATCGTTACATTATAGGGAGGTTTTTGGAAGCTAAGTATGAACACTTGTATTGGACACCATGTGCTACTCATTGTTCGGACTTGATGTTAGAAGACATTTTCAAGATACCTAGACTGAAAAAGATATTTGAAAGGGGTATTGCAGTACATGGCTACATTTACAATCGGCTTACGTTGCTAAACATGTTGAGGCGCTATACAAATTTGAAGAATTTGATCAAGCCTGCAAAAACTAGATTTGCAACCGCCTTTTTGACTTTGTCTAGGATGCATTAACAAAAAAACAATTTGAGAAAGATGGTTACCTCCGAAGACTGGACCTCAAGCAAATGGGCAAAGGAGTCACAAGGTAAAAGAATGGCACAAACTTTGTTGATGCCTTCATTTTGGAATACTGTTGTGTTTGCCCTTAAGGTCTCGGGTCCTCTTGTCAAAGTGCTTAGATTGGTTGATACCGAGAAGAAACCTCCCATAAGATACATTTATGAGGCAATGGATAGGGCAAAAGAATGCATTGCAAGTTCATTTGATCATAAAGAAGAGAAGTATAATGAAATCTTCGAAATCATTGACAAAAGATGGGATGTCCAATTGTATCGACCTTTACATGCAGCTGCGCATTTTCTTAACCCAGAATTCTTTTACCCAAAAGTGTTAGAGGTGCAGAGAGATCATGAATTGATGAATGGGTTTTATGAATGCATGCAAAAGTTGGTCCCGGATGTCACTGTTCAAGATTTGATCACTAATGAGATGAGTATTTATATGAAGGTTGAGAGTCTTTTTGGCAAGGTTGTTGCGATTAGGTAAAGAAATACAAGAGCACCAGGTAATATATTATAGACTCAGAGAGTTTATTTTCAGTAATACTTTTAGTAAAACTTAATACTTGGTAACAATTATTTCTAACTAGTGGATTATCGCAGCTGATTGGTGGGCATTATATGGTTCTTATACTCCAAACTTGCAAAATTTTGCCATAAAAGTCCTTAGCCTAACATGTAGTTCATGTTAGGGAAAATTGATGTGATTCCCCACAAGTAATCAATCAATGGGAATAAAAACTAATGCAAAAAATTAAATCAAAGGCAACACAAGAATTTTTATGTGGTTCCCTCAATGTGAGGTACGTCCACGGGATCGAAATCCGATTCCACTATCAACCAAATAAGTCCAAACGATTACAAAAGAGACACTAATGGTCTCACAAAACCACCCTTAGGTGAATTCCAAATAATCACAAATAAACAAAGAGGAAAGACCTCACCAAATAGATGAACCAAAATCTTCTGAATCAAAGTTGAAGAAGATCCAAAATAACGAACCAAATTAGCTTCCACACAAAGGAAACAAAAGCTTGAACAAATCAAGCACTGTTGACCAATCTTCCCCAATTGTCCATTCACCGGCACCATTCCCAATGCAGTGTATCAGCCGCCGTCCACCTTGTTTTAGTGTGTTGAACAAAAATAATATATATTGAATCTTAGGTTTTGGAATCAAACCCTAATTGTATCTCAATTGAATTAGGTCTCCACAAATATAATATATAAAAATATATTATACCTAAATCAAGCCAAATTGAAACTCTTTTAATAAACTAATTGGGTCCCACACTCCAATAAGGAGGTATACCCAACAGTTCATCGGGTTGTGAACGAAATTGGAGTGTATTCGAACATGTGAGTATTTAACATCTAACTAATTTTTTGTTCAATTCAAATATTTTTTATTTTCATTATATAGAATTTAATATCTTTTTAATACTTGCAGCTTAAGAAATAGATTGGAACAACGTCTCAATGATTTAGTGTAAGTCAAATACAATAGAACATTGAGATTTAGGTATGACATGCGCAACACTCCTGATCCCATATCTTTGCAAAATATTGATGAAAGCAATGAGTGGTTGCTTGGGAGGATGGATGGAGAATCAGATGAAGATAATGAGCCTGTGTTTGATGATGATGATGGCTTGACGTGGGCCACTGTTGCTAGAGCTTCTAGAGTAGAAGAAAGTAGCCATGCAAGTAGAGCAACAAGTTCACGCTCAAAGGCACAACCGAGGATATCTAAATCATCAACATTGACTCCGCTTCAATTAATAGATGAAGAGGAAGTGGGCACAGATGACACAGAGGAGGAAGATGTTGAGGGATACAAATCAACTGATGGAGAAGAAGATGATAGTTTGCTTGCCATTGATGTTGAGGATGATGATTGACTGACACCGACCTAACCTACCCTTTCTTTTGATATTGATGTTTTTAAGTGTTAAGACATATATTAGTATTTGTTGGATATTTATGTATTAGTATTTGTTGGATATTTATGTTTTGGATGTTTAGTGTTTATGTTTTTATTTTATTGAATGTGAATTATTTGATCTTTGAAAATTGAAATGTTATGTAATATGCACTTTCATGGCTTTGAGAATTATTCTATATTTTGTCTTGAATCTTGATTACTTTTTATTTTTTAAAAAATTGTCTTAGTACTATGAATGATTAGTCTATATTAATTTTTCTATTTTTTACGAATACTGTGTGCCTTACTTCAATAAAGCCCGCACCTCGCCTTGCGCCTAGGCTCCAAGAGACCTTCGGCGCCTTAGTGCGCCTTGAGCCTTTAAAAACACTGCCTTACATGTAGCTCTTGGATTAGAAAATTTCCATCTTCCCATATTTGATTCACAATGAGTTTGAAAAGTATTATGTGAATAAATGCCTTTAATAGCATCAGATTCAATTACCTCAACCAATAAAGTATTAAATCATTCTACAACTAAATGCATTTGCAACATGGTTTTGTGAACTATTTTTATGCTTAAAGACAAAATTGTAAGCTTCAATGCTTGCACCACAACAGAAAATTCTACATTAATACAATTTCCTTGCGTCGTTAACTTCTTGCTTAAAATGCAATACGTTTACTCCATTGGCTAAGATTCTACCATACTGACTTGAGAAACATCACATTCCACTTCAAGTGCTAGGTTGAAATCCTCCCCAATGCAGGCAGGAAATGGAGATCTCTACATCATAGTCAATGATTGTGAAAGAGCCACATTAATACATCAGTATTTTAAAACTCATAATGACGTGGCAATTTATAGACTGAATTTTGAATTTTGATGATGTTCCACAAAATAGACCTAGGTGATGGCCTCTCTTCTTCCTCATGGAATGGGTTTATCTCTACATTTTTTGGACATTGAAGCCTGTATATTATATCTCCTTTTGCAAGTTTTTGCACTTCCTATGCAAGGGTGCCACTTGCTGGGTCAAATCTACTAGTAAGTGTTAATTTTTGTCAATCTGCCCTCTCCTTACAGTTTCTAAGGACTTGAAACTTACTTTAATGTAAAAAAGCAACAAAGAGAAAAAAGTAGAAAAGATAAACACAGTAGAGTATTGAGAAAAATACTTGATAATTCACCGAAGCAAGCATCAATAGCAGTAGATAAACAAAAATCCTGAAGTGGCTGTTTTTCAAACAATCTCAATACATACTAACAATTGAGTACCAAATCCTTATTTTTTCACCCATATGAATACGATCAAATCCATGACTACAGTACAAAATCCTTTTCCGTTAATCCTATACGATAAAAGCATAATAAAACACTCACTTAAATCATCAAACAGACTCTAATGCAATAAGATAAATTAATTGGTCAGTTCGTTTGGTCTTGGAACTCCTCTTTTAACTCCGGCGTTGCTAAACTTTTATCAGATTCTTCTCCTGAGCTGTATCGCATAAGTAAACATACATAACAACATTAATCACATTCTAGCTCAAACAATCCATATTTGGAAATATAAATTTACATACATGATACATAAGTTTGCACCACAATTTAATTTCAATAAAAAAATGCCTTAACCATCAACACATTTTCTAAATTAACCTAAATTCATTTCAATCACAAAAAAATCATTAGTTACCAAATATGAGATCATGCCTTGCACATAAAATTAAATTTACACAATGTCTAGGACCGTAGCATATACACAAATTTCCTAACTCATCCTAGCAACTAAAATTTAAAATACTCAACATAAAATCTAAGAACAAATTTATGCACTTACGTATTTATAGCATGTGAACATATAAAAAAAATGAAGTTTTGGGGTGTGAAAACCTTACTCGAAGAAAGTCTTTATTAATAGAGTTGAAAAGAGTACAAAGAGCTTACAAGCTTGCACTCATCAACAACACCCTCAATGTCGATGATGCCACTTTTTGTCATTTGTGTAGTTACTAGTAACAGTCAAACCATTTGAACTTATGTTCACCTAGTTTATTTATATATTGCTACTTCTTGTTTACTACATTTTTGTCTTATTTATCTCAGATTGTGAGTTTTGTTCTCTGTGTGTGTGTGTGGTAAGTCAGCAATTTTATTACCAAAAAAGAGAGATGTAATGAGGCTTGGGACATAAGTGCCTGTAAAAAATAAACCTTCGAGGCAACACAACTCTTGGGCAACATAAAAACAGGATCTAACCAAACAAACAAAGTAAAACCCTCACAGCTCGATGGACTTGGCCAAAGCACAAAAATCAAAATATAAACAAACAAACCGCACCCATCCAGGACACTTCTTCTCACAACCCAGAGGCCCAATAGTAGGCATATATAACTCAAGAAATATACAATAAACAAATAGAACCATTAGCCCACATCTCGTTATATCAATTAGAGTGTGAACTCTTACTAGAAGGCTTTGGGCATGATTTCTTTTCCCTTGCAATTTGTTTGGTTGAGTTTTCAGAATCTGCTTTTGAAATTTTTTCAAAAAATTACAAATTAGTTTGACAAAAATAAACACCAAACTAGTTTATTTTGAATTTCCTAAAATTATTTTCGCCCCCCAAAAGAGAAAGACCATATGAAAATAATGATTTTTTTTTTCTTTCACCAAACTAGTTTTTGTAAATTTTCAAAAACGGATTTTGAAAGCTCAACCAAACATTAGAATTTGAATTTCTCTTTAAGGTTCCTTTTATCTCATCTCTAAAAGGAATGGCATCCATAATCCTTTTAGTTTCATCCTTGGCTTCTTTTATTTATTTATTTTTTATTAACAATAAAAGGAGTGTTTTGAGGCTAGAGGGCCATCCATCTCTCCCCTGAAGCTTGTATTTTGTAGTTCTTGTGTGCTAAATAAAATCCTATTTTTGTATTCTCCTGATCAGGGATCTTGTTTTCTCCTTTGTGATTGTACTTCCTTTCGTGGCTGTTTATTTGGTATTAGAACCGTGGAAGCTTTAACATCTATTTTTCTAGTTTTATAATCCATTACCTTTTTCTACTCTTGGACTTAACACAGAAAGAGTATGCTCTGTGACTGTCGCTATTTGTGGATCATATCATCTGTAGCATTTCCTTTTAAGAAATACTCACATCTTTCCTCTCTTTTTTTCCTTTACTCTTCATCTCAACCCCTAGAATCTCATTTGGAACACATGCTGATAACACATCAAATATATTTGATGAAGTTGGATACGTAGAGGTCACCTATAGCGATCCCGGGTTTACCCTTGTTGTACAGTGATCCGGACATGTGTCCGTGGATGTTGGTAGTTGGTTATCATCGTGTTTACATTCCTTTTTCTTCATATTTGAGTTATGGGATGTGTTGGGTGGGTTTGTTTCAGGTTGGTTGAGTTTAGAAACCAAAACTAGTTGCCCAAACTTTGACCTGTCCGCTCGAGCGGGAATTGCACCCATCCAGTATTTCCTGTGCAGTGTTGGACGCTCGAGCGTGGGATTGGCCGCTCGAGCGGGATTGTGTGAGTGCCGCTCGAGCGGGGAGTTGGAAGCTCGAGCGGAGACCTGGCT